AATTTATTTTGTTTAAACGTTAATTTTTTTGAATACTCATAATCGAATAGAAGTTGTTTTTTTTTAATTAGACAGTATTTTTTTTTATCCAACTGAATATTAAAAAAATCTTGCCAGAAAAATATGCGTGCCCAAGCAGGATTCAAACATGTATCCCCTGTGGGGGACCGTCATTGGAATTGACGTGTTTAACCCTTGCCCACGTAGAACTTCCGATCAAACAAACAAAATAAAGTTGTCTTTGTTAAACGTTAGGATACGACACAGAGCAGATATGGATGCTTCTAGAACCGATAGAATGTGTGCTCAAACAGAACTCAGTATAAATCAATCAATCTATCTACCGCAATCTGTTCATATCTATCTATCTATCTATCTATCTATCTATGTCAGTCTACTCATATCTATCTATCTATCTATCTATCTATCTATCTATGTCAGTCTACTCATATCTATCTATCTATCTCTCTCTCTATCTATCTATCTATCTATCTATGTCAGTCTACTCATATCTATCTATCTATCTATCTATCTATCTATCTATCTATCTATCTATGTTTATATATTCTGTTCATACCTATTGCTAGTTTTCAATTTTCTATCTATTTATCATTAAATTTGTGAATCCTACTAGTGACGATGTTTTTAGGTCGGCATTCATCAAAATCGAATGAATATGAAACTATCTAAAAATAAAAATGACAAGTAAATACACAAATCACATTTTTCACATCCTGACACTTGTTCATATATATATATATATATATATATATATATATATATATATATATATATATATATATATATATAAATCAACATTTGTCAGGGTTATATAAAGAAAGGTTTAAGAAAAGGAAATTGAAGACTCTTTTTTTACTTATTTATCTTTTGAGCCACGTGTGAAAGGAAACATCATTCAGCCAAAGGCGACAATGAAAGTAAAAAGAAACAGGAAATTAATGGGACTGGTTTACCCTAAACCTTTTGAATCTTATGTTAAATCTTTATTTTTATTGCTGGCTGTGCACACTGCATACAAGGATGACGTTTCTTACACTTCGATTCCAAAATAATGCTTTCTTGTGCAATGCCCCACTTCTCGCTCCATGTATTCATTCCAACCAAAAGCTCGTCAGTTAAAAAAGAAGAATAAATATAAAATTTCGAAGAGGTTTTCGGACCACAGAACTCTTTATAGCGGGTTCTTCTTGCTGCAAAGTTTCGATTTCTCCCTGTAAAGGTAACACCACCGTCCCCGACAAAAAAACAAATAATGGTAAAAATATGGCTGCATGTGAAAAGAGAATATATTTCAGTTGAAATCATGTTAAGAAACTTGGCGAAATTAGTTCAGTCAGTTTACAAGGAAGCAAACAATACGGCTATTAATAAGAAGAGTTAAAATTAATGTTTCACAGATCAATCCTCACTCCTTAATAATCAGCATGTAACTTTTTCAGTCTAACCTTATATATATATATATATATATATATATATATATATATATATATATATATATATATATACATTATTTTACATTTTTCGGACTATTGTCCTCATCTTTGTCGCCATATTTATTACAACGTTTCGGCCGTTGTACTTACCGGCCTTCTTCAGGTGGTTGGAATGTCGAACTGAACCTTTTATTTCGCTCACTGGAGTAGACTGTTCTAGTTCCACGTGCCATGTTTGTTGGATGTCAGTAATCAGTTATCTCCTGTTAATTTCCCTCTGAAAGTTCTCCACTGCCTTAACCGGGTATTGAACTCATACTCTTTCGGTCCTGTCACTGGATCTAACCAACGCCTTTATCCACTGTGGCATCTGATTCAATATAATCTTTTCACTTCTTTGTCAGAGGGGAAAAAATTAACTCGAGAAAGCACAATGAGATACTCTCCCTTCTCCCCTAGCATCAGCCATCCTGATGTTAACCTCTAGAAGAGTGACACATTGAACTTTCACTCTCTAACGGTTTCAAAGATATGAACTGGAATGATTATCTCGACTCAAGTGCTACGTCTGGTACTAGAAAAGATGGTTTTCACTGCTAGACAATTCTCTTCTCCAGAATCTGCTTTACACGTTCATAAGTTTACCGCGTATCGAATATTGTTGCCAAATATAGTATGATGTTTCTGCTATAACACAATATGAAGAAGTATCTGCAATGTTATTGGTCTTGACGTTGTATCTCGGTTTCAGTAACTTTTCCAGCGTTTTAACATGATTTCTCTCTGCCTTTTCTATATATTTCAATTGTTCTGGTGAGTTTTTTTTTCCTTTTATACCTCGGCTTCGTCAATGTAAGTGTAGTACTAGATTGGCTGTTGGTGTTCATAATCCTACAGTCGAAATAACTAGATGTAACCGTAAATTCGATTCTAATAATTTAGTCTCTCAGATTTCTCTCCTGTTAAACTCTTTTCCTGCTTTCGCATCAATTAAGTACTCCAAAATTTTAAACCCAACATCAATCATTATCTGTTTGCTTTTCTTTATCATTATTTTTTCCTCGGTAGCGTTTATTCAGTCTTCTTCACTCTCTTTTCATTCATCCACAATGACTCCTTGCGGCTTGGAGTGGAATAATGTAAAAAAAAAAAATGGATCTGATTGACTCTATTTCAGTCAAGCTATGGATTAGTGTTACTTAGAAACAAGATTGAATTCATCGACATATTTCACATAATGGTCAGAGACGAATACAAAAATCCATAGTGGCAATCCACTTCTGATATAATATATTCTATCTTGTCCTTTCTAAAATAAGGCTTACAGCCATATCACGTTGAAAAGGCAGTTCTCGTACGATCATCGAAGTTAAGCAACGTAGAGAATAGTCAGTATCTAGATGGGTGGCAGTATGTGAATACTAAGTTTCATAAGCTTGGGTGTGCAGGTGGTGTAATAGATAATGACTCGGAATCGAGTTTCAATTCGCATTAGGTTCGTTATATTCGTGCAAATAAATACCCCTGGGAAAAATAAGAATACACATCTTCTCCCCTCCGTATCTATAAAAAGAATACCCGCTCGGCCCGGTGGCTAGGATCAAAGTGTAGTATCTGCGCTTTGTGAGCTGCCGGGTCGGGTGTCTGTCGAACTCTCTGCTTGCAGAGAGGAACCCGGACGAAGCTCCGCCGAAGGGTAGGGTTTCGTTGGGGAAGGTTGACGGAACTGGCCCGCCTCGGCGTGTTTGGATGGTTATTTATTTTTGGCTGGGCCTACGGGCTCAGAGATACCCACATTAAAAAGGCCTTGTACCACATTCAATCCCCGTGGGTGGATTGATAAATACAATCTTCTCCCCTCCCCTAGTTAATTAGTAAGATTTGTATTGCTAAACAATCATTATCTCCAAAAGAATTTTTCAAAATCTAAAAATATTTCCTGACTTAGATAACCTGCAAAGTGTTGATAAGCCGTAGAAAATGAATCAATGGTTCTTTCTTGTTTTTTCTATCTACCATTTTCTTTCATGATGTAGGCGATCGTGGCTCTCCAAAGGTTCCTTTTCTCTGCCACCTCCCCAGAGCACGTTCTGTAATCTACTTGCTTAAGACCACTAGGTATGTCATGTATTGTTTTCTCTTGTCTCTCTTTTCCTTTTATTCGACCTGTGAGTATCAGATTCTCCAGGCCCTCCTTCCTCATTATGTGTCCCAGGAACTTCAGCTGCCTCTTCCTGATGTTAAGTATAAGCCTCCTCCTTGTTTTCATCTTCTCTAGGACCTCATCGTTGCTCACACGCTCAGTCTATGAGATCCTTAGCATCCTTCTGTAGAACCACATCTCTGTCCCCTCGATTCTCTTCTTGATCTTTGAGGAAATCCTCCATCATTCGCTGCGTAAAGAAGGACAGATGTCACGTAACACCTCAGTATTCTTTTCTTCATGACCAAAGAAATCCTCCTACTAAAAACAAATTCATTTCGAAGGTAAGGTTTATTACTGTTCACCTCAAAGATTCCTCTTTCTTAGCACAGATTTACGACCGACTGTGAAGACTGACCTGAGATCTAGATTGTGACAGAGTAAGCGATCTAAATTTTTTTTTAGATCAATTCACTACAAGCAAAGCGATAACATCCCTAAATTGAAGGACTACTTGGAGTGAAGAACTTTAGAAGGAACTATCAAGCCATTTCTAAACAAGAAACAAGGAATAAACTTTTAATTATGTTCAAAAGACCAGGGAGGAGTGTGAACCGGACGATAGGTGAACCTATCTACTCCTATTCAACTTGACTAAAGACTATCCTCGCTCAGTTCCTCCAAAAAGAAAGGAAGTAACTATAGGTAACTATAAGGGAATCTAAAATTGCCTTCTTAAAACTCATGCTAAAAATCTTTCTGGTATAGCCCTGTGCCAGACTTTATTCGCTGTAATGATCTTTATTGTACTCTATTAATATCCAGACTTTGTTAAGTTTTCGTGGGCATGATTTTATTCTAATTTATTAAGATTGCTCGGAGTGTTTCCATCCTTGTGTCAAAATTTCTTCTGTTTTATTTTTAGGAAGCTTACACTTTAAACTTCAGTGTCAAACTGATTTCGATTTAAAGATAAAAGCCTTTTTGACTTCTTACACTTCTCGAACGAAGCAAACCATTTCGTTGTCAAACAATAGATCCTAAAATAAATTAGCAGCAAGAAAGACATCAATAAAAAAAAAAGAAGAAAAAGTAAACAAAAACTGAAGGAAAACTTATGCAAAATGAAGAACTGGAGGAAAAAGAAAGAGAAATTGGAATGGAAGATAAAAGAAGGAAGACTGAAGAAAGGAATTTTAACGAAATAATAAAAAAGGAGGGAAAGTAAAAGAATTGAAAGAAAACTAAAGAAAATAAAAAAAAAACAAATATAAAGTAAGAAGACTGAGAAAAAGAAGGAAAACAAAAAAGAGCAAAACAAACGTTAGAAAAAAAGACAAAGAAAAAGCTAAAGAAAGAGTAGAAACAAATGATGAAAAAGAAAGAAAACTAAAGGGAGTTAACTAAAGGAGAATGAGCAAAGAGTAAAAGAAAGAAAGATAATAAAAAATGGATGGACAAATAAAGAAAAAAAAAATAAGGAAAAGAAAGAAGCGAAGAGAAAAATAAATAAAGAATAAGTAAAAAACCAAAAGGAAAAAAAAAGAAATGTTAAGAAGGAAAATAAAAGAAAAAAAATGGAAATCTAAAGGAAAATGACAAAAAAAAAATATGCAGATAAAGTAACATTAATAACTCCAACCAACAGGAGGAATCTGTAAAGGAACATTTATGGAAATAAAATTAAAAAAAAATCTCCAAATATCAAACAAGGGCAGATAATCAATATAAAGTGTATCGACCTAGATAGAGGAAAGGATTAATAATGCTATTTATTTTATTTTATTCTTAAATCTTGTTCTTGAATAAAGTTTGAAATGAAACTATCGAGCTTTGACGAGATTATAAAACATTACAGATACAAAATCCTCTGCCATGTTTGCCTTTGGAGCACGAATTAAGCAACTGCTGTCAATTAACAACGAATTCAGTGAGTCTTTATAACTTTCTTCGCGCATAAAATTGACGATAAAGTTAATGTAAGAATTTACAAAGAAAGGCGACAAGAAAACCAACAGGAATAGTTACAACAGAAGTAACTTGCATTGAACAATGGAAGTAAGCAGAAAGCGAAGAGTGAATTTTGTATAAATCAATGCAAAGGAACACAAGAATGGAGTCGGAGAGAAATAAAATGGCGGAATTCATAGCGGGAAGGAGTGCGCTCGGCCGCTGAAGTTGTTGTTCTGAAGACCTTTAGAGAAAGTGAATGGCAACGTGACATTTGCTCTAATCCTGATTTTCCACGGATAGGAATTGGTGAAGAATAAGGAAGTATATAAAAAAATTTAAAGTAGGAAATAAACAAAACAGAAATAATAGAGAGAGAGATTAAAGGTATAAATAATGCAAGAGAAGGGAGAGGCCATATGTGTCGGAGACATTAATGGGAAGGAATAAAGGATGGAAGAAGAAGAAGAAGAAGAAGAAGAAGAAGAAGAAGAAGAAGAAGAAGAAGAAGAAGATAAAGATGGGTGATATATGAAGAAGTAGAAGGTTGATACATGTACAAAAAGAGGAAGAAAAGAAGAGGGAGAAGAAAAAGGAGAAAGGAAGAAGAAGGGTGATAGAAGAAGAAGAAGAAGAAGAGAGATAGAAGAAGAAGAAGAGTGATAGAAGAAGAAGAAGAAGAAACGAAGAAGAAGGGTGAAAAGAAGAAGAAGAAGAAGAAGAAGAAGAAGAAGAAGAAGAAGAAGAAGAAAAAGAAGAAGAAGAAGGACGACAACTCTAAGTAGATCTGGAGACAAAAGTAGAAGATATTAAAGAGAAATAATAATCGGTAGAATATATATATATATATATATATATATATATATATATATATATATATATATATATATATATATAAGAACCAGGTAGTATGAAACAGAAAAAAGAACAAGAAGAAGAAGAGAAAGAAGAAGAAGAAGCAGACGAGGTTAGGTCATAGAAGAAGAAGAAGAAAAAGAAGAAGAAGAAGAAGAAAATTTAGTCACAAGTACAGCGCACATTTGACAAAGGGCTTCAGACATTTAAAATGTGTGTGATCTTAGTTTTTTTTAAAATGTGCAGAGGAAAATGCCATGAAGCCATTTCTGACCTTAGGTCCCTGGTTGGAAATGTCCATAGAACAGGAATCAATGGAAATAATAATAATAATAATAATAATAATAATAATAATAATAATAATAATAATAACATCATGACGAAAGGATAAGAAGCTGCAAACTGGTGTGAACATTACCCTGAATCTTAGTCGAAGCAGAAAATATTACCATGCTCTGTGATTTTTCGATGAAAACAGAACGAACAATGCAAGGAAATCTCACAGGTGTTGTTATCAAAAGCAGAAAAATATCGTAAATAATTGAGATGTGCGTACCAAGTGACAAAAACATCCGTGTAAAGTTTTTGAAAAAAAAAAAAAAACTCAGCAGATGCGAAAACCTGGAGATGAAAATAGAAATAAATAAAACTGTTTTGGTTGAAGCTTTGGGTCTGATACAGAATGGAATGCAACAAGAAATCAACAAATTCATTTCCTGTTTCTTAGTATCTTTTTAGTGTTTAGAAAACATCGTTTGCCGCACTCGATTTTGGTGTCATATTGTCCATCTGCTATTTAAACATCATTATATGTTTGATGTTGATATTTTCAATTCGTAATTCGAATCTGGGGCTTTTTCTCTTGCTGACAACCACTCTCTTATAACAATTGAGATTTACTTCTTTTCGACCCCGTCTAGGAACTCCTCTTATTTCCTTTTTATATGTGTCATCAACAGTGTCAGCTGTGCATCTTTTATTGGTAAAACGATGTCCAAAGTCAGTAAGAATTGGAAGGCACATCAGAACATTTAGGATATCCTTTCTGTATCAGCAAGTAAGACTTCAAAGGCACATCAAAACATTTAGGATATACTTGCTGTATCAGCAAGTAAGACTTGGAAGGCACATCAGAACACTTAGGATATCCTTTCTGTATCAGCAAGTAATACTTCAAAGGCACATCAGAACACTTAGGATATACTTGCTGTATCAGCAAGTAAGACTTGGAAGGCACATCAGAACACTTAGGATATCCTTTCGGTATCAGCAAGTAATACTTCAAAGGCACATCAGAACACTTAGGATATACTTGCTGTATCAGCAAGTAAGACTTGGAAGGCACATCAGACCACTTAGAATATCCTTTCAGTGTTAGCAAGTAAAACTTGGAAGGTACATCAGAACCCTTAGTATTTCCTTTCGATATCAGCAAGTAAGACTTAGAAGGCACATCAGAACACTTAGGATATACTTGCTGTATCAGCAAGTAAAACTTGGAAGGCACATCAGAACACTTAGGATATCCTTTCGGTATCGGCAGATAAGACTTGGAAGGTATATCAGAACACTTATGATATCCTTACGATATCAGCAAGTAAGACTTGGAAGGCACATCATAACACTTAGGATATCCTTGTTGTATACGTGCATGTATCTTTCAATACATGCCTGATGTCGCATTAGGTTGCCATCGAAGGCTATAGAACTCAGTATATCCTGCTATTTACCCATAGCTAGTGTGAGGATTCATATCTTTCCCAAAGGTATTAGCACGTAAGTGAATGTAATAGATTCCACTGTAATTCGAGCTCTGCTCTCCGATTCCTCAATCCGAGATGCTATCCATTACTGATCCGTGCCTCCCCTCGTTGTATAGTTAGAAGTCATATACATATCTTATACCCCTTTCTGTGCTTGTATATCTACACAGTTCATTTTCTATCCATTTTGTTCCAGTTTTGTTTATTTTAATATTCTTCCCAAATAGATTTAAATTTCTTTACAGTTCAAATACTGGGCTGAGTCAAAAAGTAATGCAGTTTTTTTTTAATGTGTAAGAAATAAAGCAAACAACTATACATCATAGGTTCACATCCGTACGTTTCAACAAAATCACAAGGTCTATCAAATGCAGTGTTACACATATGAGATTTCCATCTTTTCGCTTCAAGGAAAGAGGCACTGATAAGCCACCGTTATGGTGGTTATGAAGGAGCGAAAAAGGCTGTAAGGAATTGTTCACACAAACAGCAAGCAGAGTTTTATGAAAATGGAATATGTATCGTCATTCTTAGGGAGAACACTGCCATTCAAAGAGGTGGTGATGATGTAGAGAAGTAGGGATGTGGATCTGTGATGTATAGCTATATTTTTATGTACGATATGTTTGATTGTGTTCTTTATTTCTTATATAATAAAACAAAATGTATTACATTTTGTCTCATCTTCGTAGTTTATTGTGCGGTACCTTATCAAATATTTTTGCGTATTGTCTAAAACGTAAATAATACATTCATTTGCATTAAGATTCTTCTTTCCAATATAATTCTGATCATAGATATAGCATTCATTAGTCCAATGTACTTAACAAAACTACAATGTTCTTGTCCTTTTCAGATCTAATTCTGCTTCTCCCATTATTCATCAGAATTCGGATTATTAGTTTAGTTATATGGCTCATTAAGCTGATTGTACGCTGGATTTCGCATTCATTTGCATCTTGATTTTAAATAGTGCTACGAAATTGATTTTCTATGAAATTTCTAATTTGCGGTTCTCATATATATTTCATTTAATATTTCCGTGATCATTTCGATGCAGAAATTATCTAAGGGTTAAAACATCTCTGCTACAATTCCATCTGGCCATGATGCTTTGTTCCTGTTAATCTTGTTTAGTGCTGATTTTCCTTTAGACTCTTTAACATTTTTGACCTCATCATATTTTTGTGTATTGCATGTTTCTCTCTCTCTCTCTCATCGTGAAATAGTTCTCTAGCGTATTCACTTCATTGATGGACTATTTTTCTTTCTATTTCTATTATCAATGTTCTCTTCTTTGATTTTATGTAACCTACTGAGGAGCACGTCTTTTGCCATGTTAATTTCTTTATTCTCTTTGGCATAATTGCTTTATCTCTGATGCTTATTCTTTTTATTTTAGCGCGCTTTCATTGAACCATGCCCCTTTCCAATGACTACATTTGTTTTTAATTTCCGTGTTCTGAACTCTGTACCTTTCCTTGGCATTGCTTATGACCCCTTTTTCATCATGTCGAGAATCTCATCTGTTCTCGTTTTACTTCGGATGATCTTATTCATCGATGTCACGAGAGGTTCTCTCAACGTCTTCCATTTTGACTTTTTAGTAATGCTCAAGGTACTTTTGTTTTTAACTACGTATATATCTTTTTTGACGTGGCTCATTTCATTCAGAAAGCTGTTTCTTTGATTTTGATTAGCGGCATATCAACCTCTATGGGTTATTTAATTAAAACAATTTCATAGCTCCAAGTAAAATATTTTTGAAGGCAGTTGTATGCATTTAACTACTGATAAAATGTATTGCTAGTCATTTTGCATTACAATTATGTTTGGTAATTTTGTTATAAATATGTATTTTTATATTTTTATAGTGTATTTTTGGTGGGGGCGCTTTCCCTATTTGCCATAGCTGAAACCTTAACAGGTGCTAACACCCCGGCCAAAGGAGGAGCTGGTTCCCAACTGAAGTGTGGTTTATGGAATCTGTCATATTTAATATATCAGTTTAGGTGCTACATGGGTCTGCTTCAATGTTCCAGATTGTAAGATACCGTTTTCAGCAGACATCTTGAAAATATCTAAAGCGAAATACCTCGAAAATCAATTATTTGCTACTTTTACAATTAGGCTATTCAGGAATCGAGTGAACAATATGAATAAGAAAAGGTGATTTCTGTTTTGTGAAAATAAATTGGGATGATAAAACTCTTCTTAAATCTATAGACACAACGTAAATAGTACTGAAAAGTGTGGAACTTAATAGATTCTGGTTTGTGTCACATCTTAGCTATGCTTAATAAATAACAATATGAAAGAAAAGCGTGGACTTCCAGATGATTTAATCTTTAGCAAGCTTTCTTCGCTAGATCAATAACGACTGAGTAGTGATTTCGATCCTCACTGGGTGGCTCTAAGTTGTATCCTTGTGCCAAATTCTACGCTTAGTAAACCGCTATTTAGGACACATTGATGTGATGTACTTGCTACATGAATTATGAATGAATATTGTGTTCGATCCTTACTAAGTGATTCATACTTGGGACTTCGTGCAACACTTATGCTACACTTAGTAAATTAAAATTTAGAGCACATCTCTATGGTGCAATGGTTAGTGAAGTAGTTTCGCTACATAAATTACTTGAGTTCGATCCTCGTTAGGTTCCCCAAGCTTGAAGCCTCGTGTTACATTTATCACTATTTAGGGGACTTCGACTTAGTGTAATAGTTAACAAACTACAACCGCTACATTAATTACGATTGAGTAGTGACTTCACTCCTCGCTGGGTGTACAATTCTTGGCTACGTTTAGTGAATCGCAATTCAGGGTACTCAGACGTGGTACAAAGATTAGCAGGCTGTCTTCCTTACCTCAATGACAACAGAGTATTAAATTCGATCCTCATCAGGTCCCCCATACTTTGCGGCCTTGTGACATATCTATGACACGTTTAATAAATTTACAATTCTGTGCAATTCTGTGGTGTAATAGCAGGCTGGTCTTGGTACATTAATTAATGAATGTGTACTGAGTTCGACCCTCACTGGGTGCTCTATATTTGTAATCTTGTGCTAAAACTAAGTTAAGCATAGACGTTGAGTACACGGACAAAAATCTGTGTCAATGTAATTCGTTTAGGTAAGTCTCTCTTTTGCTGAACATTTTTTGTAAGTCACTTCAGTAGCATCAACGCCAGAGAAAAAAAAAAACTTGCCATGATAACTGTCTATTTTTCATAAACAAATTAGAAAAAATATTCTTCCAAGATTGTTTTTCCACCTTACTCATTTTACTTCCCAACACTTCTTAATCATTTACTCTTTCGGTCGACTGTAAATCTGTCATCGACCAAATAAAATAACAATGTAAAACAGATCCCTGTCTTAAAAGGACGTCGACATTTATATTTCATAGACGAATTATATGTGCTATTTATTGGATAAATCAGATATTTTTTTTAATCATTTCACCCCAAGCAAGGCAATAAAATCACTATGATGCAAGGGGTTGACTGAGTTGTAAAGATTATGAGAGAAAAAAATATAAAAAAAGTAATTTTAACGAGATACAATAATGAAGGAACAAGAACCTAAAGATAAAAGATAACGATTTACATTACATTTAAATTTTTGAAGATCAAAATTGACAAGGAAGCCGGAAGTGAGTTCGACAAGTGAGAAGAGTGATGGAAGAAACTGTTAACAAAGCTTTTGTATAGCGATTTTAACATATTTTTTATTATAATCTCTTATAATAAAAAATATAAAATATATTGCTCTACTTTGTATTGAGCATTTTTTAGAACTTTACTGCATATGTTCTTTTTCTCATTTGTATATCTATCTATCTATCTATCTATCTATCTATCTATCTATATATGTATATATGGAGAGAGAGAGAGAGAGAGAGAGAGTGTGTGTGTGTGTGTGTGTGTGTGTGTGTGTGTGTGAGAGAGAGAGAGAGAGAGATTATTAAAAATAATTTCACCCCAAACAAGATAATAAACGCAATAAGACGCAGTGGGTTACCGGGTGTTCGAAAATATAAAGAAGAAAAAACATGATTAAGACGAGACTAAAATAATATGAATTAAGAAGACAGAAGATAACGATTGACATTGAATTTAAAATCTGACTTGCAAGACAAAAGAGAGTTCTACAATCGAAGAGTGCGATAGAAGGAACTGTTAGCATAGAACTTACGGTTACATCTAGATATTTCAGCTATAAAATGAGACTTTGCCTCAAATCTGTGCTTAAATTTACACAATCTATGAACTATTGAGGAAAGTAATATTTATTTTGCAAAACACAAAAACGTGACGGAAAAAAAAAGATTTAGGCGCTGTATTAATGTTCCCAATTGTAAGATTTCCGTTTTCAGCAGACATCTTGAAAATATCCAATGCGAGATCCCTCGAAAATCAATTATTTGCTAATTTCACTATTAGGTTATTCAGGGACCGAGTGAACATTTATTTGAACAATATGAATAAGAAATGGCGATTTCTGTTTTGCGAAAATAAATTGGGATGATCAAACTTAAATCTATAGACACAACGTAAATACAGTGTAACCCGGATATAAGAGACCCTGATATAAGAGAAACCCGGATATAAGATAGATTTTCTCTGGTCCCAAATTAGAGCCTGTGTTAATGCATATAAAATAGACCAAACCCGGATATAAGAGAACTCTCATATATCCGGGTTACACTGTAGTAATGAAATGTGTGGATCCCAATAGTGTCGGTCTTTTGTTATATCTAAGCTATGGTTAATAAATTAAAATATGAAGAAAAAAGCGTGGACTTCGACATGATTTAATGTTTAGCATAATTGTTTCGCTAAATCAGTAACGGCCGAGTAGTGATGGAGATCCCCAGGGGTGTGGCTCTAAATTACATCCTTGTGCTAAATGCTACGCTTAGTAAATACCTATTTAGCGCATTTTAACGTGGTGTACTCGCTACGTCAGTTTTGACTGAGTATTGTGTTCAGTCCTCAAAAAAAACGGGAATGAGATTGACCGGTCTTCATTTCTTTTAAACTTAACTAGCCACTATCACTAACCATACCACTGTATTCCTTATACCAAAAGAACACATATTTACCATTCTTACCATTCTTGGAAAAGTCACCACAATACGAGAAGAAAGTTATATTTAGCTACGCCCCACGAGGGTTACATGTGGCACAAGGCCGGGTTTAAGGTGGGATCTCCGAGCCCGTAGGCTCGGCCAAAAATATCCCCTCTTTGAACCCGCATAAACGGGTTCAGGGGCAGTCAACCACCCCGAACAAGACTCTTCCCTTCGGCGGAGCCTCATCCGAGTTCCTCTCCTCCCGAAGGCAGAGAGTTAGACTGTTAGCTCTTACACCGGAGCCAAGTTAATACGAGAGGAAAGTGATATTTATTCTGTTTAATACAGAAATGTGGCACAAGGCCGAAAAGGGGATTGGGGAAAGGACGGTCTTCTTCTGTCTTAACTATAACTTAGCTCGCCGCAAACACTGACCCAATCTTACGAAACAATATTCCTTTCACCAAAACAACACATTCATTCGTACCTTTCTTACTACAACCACCATAATACCTCTTTGTCTCTATGAAAATACTAACTAGTCCCCATATTTACAATTCGTGGTCTGGGGGGGGGATAAAACAACAATTCTAAAAATTAACCCCAATGAGTATTTACAATATGCATACAAAAACTATTTACAAGAAACTAAAGAAAATAAGATTAGTAATAAAACCCCCCACAATTACTAAATGTGACAGAAACATCACTGGCCGAAATCAATGCGGGACTATAATAGTATAAACCATTCATTCATCCCAATCACTCACACTGTCATGCACTCATTCAGACACAACAACAAATACGAAAAAAAAATCACTCACACGAAAACGAAAGGCGCCCCGCATCCACCAGCGAACTGACATCACTGACCACCTAACGAGGGAGGGGATGGGGAATTAAACTTAAAGAAAAAAGAAATGGGGACAGAAAAAAAGGGAGGCCAATGAGCATACATACCCTAGCTAAGTTAACTGAAAAAGGAAACTAAAGCATCAAAAGGAAAACCTAAACTAGCCTAGTTTCAGGATGGGTTGCTCAAGTTCAACCCAGGAAGAGCAATATCCTGATGCCTAACCGGCATCAATGTGCCACTCAAAGTCAGCTCCTTTCACACGACACAAGCGCGCAAGATTCACCCACCTTTTGCTGAATTCTGATGAAGTGAGCCGCCTTTCCGTCCTAATCTTGACTTTAAGCTGATGCTTAAAGTACAAGATCAGTTGGGAAGAGGTGAACCTCGCCTCCATAGAATCCCTTCTGACGTGTCGTCCAAATCACGACTCTCATAACACCTATCAAGCAGTGGAACACATACTGTTCAGCCTTCGTCAGCGGCGGTACCACATTGCTACAAACGGAAACAGACTGAAGGACAAAGGACTTTCCCTGCAGCATGCGGACCATGAGGCCTTCAACAAACTAGACCAACGGCACAACCTGGCTGCAATGAAAGAAGGCGTGACCCAAGGTCTCGACCTCCCCACTACAACGTCGGCAGTTTGGAGAATTCTCCAAGCCAGCTGAGCAGAGTCTCTTGGCGACCCAGAGGGCTCTACGTATCACCAGCCAGGTGAGTGATGCCTCATAATACGAGAGGAAAGTACGTCAGAAGAATTACTATGACACTATTTATAGAAAATTTACAGTGACGCTACATCACGGATTTGGGAGAGTCAAGATGCCGGTCAGGACCAATATCATTGTAGATTTTTCTTTGGATTTTATCAAGAATCTCTAAATTTTTAGCAGGAGCACCAGACCAGATGTTTCAGCAATATTCAATGCAGGAACGAATAGTAGAATTATACTACGTAAGATAGATTCTGGAGAAAAAAATGAACTAGCACGACAAAGTGAACCAACATTCCAGTTGCTCTAGGAATTGATTCATTATAACCACGGCCTCCAGACAACTTCCAAATATCCTGCAACTCTTCTGGATGCTCTCCTTATTTAAGTTTATGGAACAATGACATAATCCTTGCCTTCTGTTCATTTTTGGTGTTGCACGGAAATTTTTGGTCTCTCCTTCAACTGCGCCCCGCACATAATAATCAAGGAGGTTGCAGTTTGGGGTGTTAGGCGGCCAGATATAAGGTGTGAGGTGGCCGTAGATGTTTTCTGACAGCCGTGACTGGATACTTCTGCTTGTGTTGCATAGTGCAGAGTTCTGTTGCCAGATATAAGGACTTCCGGTATCCATCCTCGTGACCCAGGATAGAACTACCACCTCAGGGTACTTGATGTAATCCTCCGGGATGAATCTGAGGCCATCACCAACAAATTCGGGTGTACTCTGAGTAAGTTTTCCGAAATACCGTACGTTCGTAATCACCATGAGACTCATAGAACCCTTTCAGAATCCTCTGCCTTGTTCTCAGATTGACATGCAAATACTCTGAAATATTCGCATTGGAGTTTCCTGCGCGAATGCCATCTAGTACAGCATACCGTTTCCACATTTCATTGTGCTCTTTTTCTCACAGACGCTAACCCCCGTATACTGTGCAGTCAACAACAACAAAAACAAACAACGCGTATGCGCGAAATTTAACATATAAAATAGCGACAATTTACTCATCACCCCCTGGCCATCTTGATAAAACAATGTTGAAAGGAAGCCACTTCTCAGGGATTCATGTTCGATTCCTCTCTGGAGGCATTTATTCTTTCGTAGATCTTCTAGATCTCAGCTCGTTGTTATAATTTTACTGTTTAGGAAAAATTAAAAACAAGGATAACAAATCTGTGTAACGCCTAAAAATAACGTTTACAGCATAAATAAATAATGTTAGATCTATTTTGTAAACATACATCGGCAAAACATCTATAAAACTAAAAAAAAAACATCCGTATGAGAATCGCAGAGTCACGCTGCATGAAATAGTTTGAAAGAACTGGTAATTCCTCGTGACATATTTGAGCATAATTTCCACTAACAAAAGATGCCACTCAGATCAGAAGAGAAAAGGATTCGTTAAGAAGATAATGCTCTGAGAGTTCGCTCTCAATTCTAAGACCATTCTCAGATATGATACAACTGATTATCACCAAAACAATCGCAGAGCAATGCAGTATAGGAGCTAATAGTGAGAATAATAGATATCTACTTGGAGTTGTCAAATAGAAGACAAAAACCCCCCCAAAAAAAAAAAACAGTTTTTTTCTTTCATTCACATTGGAGAAGCCAGCTTAATATATAGACTTAAAGAAGTTTCATAGGAAAAAACACAAAATTTTGTGTTTCATTTCATTCTTATCTGAAGACGCCAACGTAGAACGAGAGGGGAAACGCGTTGTCATTAAAAAAAATATCAACTGTTTCTTATTCCTCCAGTTTGTTCGAATAGTACTCTACATATTAGTAACACACACACACACACACGTATATATATATATATATATATATATATATATATATATATATATATATATATATATATATGAGAGAGAGAGAGATCCCTCAATATATCTTCAGCTCTCTCTCTGTCATTATTTTGTTTGATATTTCGCTTTACGTATCGTATTATATAACCTACTAACACGCATATATATATATATATATATATATATATATATATATATATATATATATATATATATATGCAATCGACTTTGTATATTGTGTATTCACGAATATATATATATATATATATATATATATATATATATATATATATATATATATATATATATATATATAGTGAATACACATAATATCCAAAGTCGATATATATATATATATATATATATTAGTGAATACAAATAATATCCAAAGACACTATATATATATA